TATATGTATGTATATAGGCGGAAATTGAATTTAAAATATAAAAAATAATTACAGAGACACTTCAATTCTTGCAAAAATTTTAAAAGTCTCCTAGTGAATCCCTTTCAAAACATTTCATGTTTCATGTCACATCAAATAATTTTCTCTTCCATCTTAAAAAACAAAAACATCTAACATCTAAAATTATTTAGATTATTGACTGATGGAAACAGTCTGAGATTGGAGTGAAAAGTGCTTTCTCAGCCTGAAGCTGAACATTCTGCTCCGAAAGTGCTTCCCTGCCTGCTACTCTGAGGATCAATAATAGATCAGACAAGAACTTCCCTTGCTGCTGATGTCTAAGAGAGGTGGAGAACTGGGCAGGTCAGGAACCCAACCAGAATGTCTGATCCTAAACCATCTCTGTCAGGTGGAATCTGTGAAAGCATTCTGGAATTAGCAGGCGCTTTCAGCCTGCTCCAGCCTATAGCTAGGAACTTTTGTGATTTCTAGAATGACTGCTTACCAAAATGTAAAAATTGGTGCGCCCCATTAGAAAATGAAAATATGGCTGAAATTTTATCCAAAAACTGACATTGGTCAGGAAATCTGGAGGAAAAAAACCTACAATTGCACAAGAAAGGAAGAGTTATCTCTTAGTCAATTTTTAAAATATAAAAACAATTCATAAATAAAAATAAAAATATGGTAAATTAGAAAGAAGAAAAAATTATCCATAATCCTACCTCCCAAAATTGTCAAAGCTTTGATAAAATTCCTTTTGGAATTTTTCTTAACATAGTTGAAATCAGACTGTATATAACATTTTATATCCAAATGTCCCATTTATTTTAATGTATATATTTTACATATCATTAATAATTATTAATAAACATTATTTTTTAATGGCTGTCATAATTAGGTCCAATGAAAGTAATACTCTTGCATTTCCCTGGTGTTGGACAAATAAGCTGGTTCCAATTTTTTGTTGACTAGTTAACATGTCTGTATAAGTCTTCTATATTTTGGGATATTTCTCTAGAATATATTTCAAGATGTGCAATTCCTGCATTTAAGTATAAAAATTTTACATCTCTTGTGACATATTTTCAATTTGCTTTACAAAAATATAATAGTCTCTTTTTAGGGCAATTTGGCAATGTGTATCATGATCTTCACAAATATTCCAACCCTTTGATTCATTATTTCCTTAGAGAACAGAGACATATAAAATGCTTTTGTTTACAATATTATTGCAGTATTATTTCCATTACCAAAAAAATTGACCACAATCTAAATGTCCAAAAATAAAAAATCAGTTAAAATAAAATTGTGATAGCTATATAATATACTTTATATACCATTAAAATCCTATTTTCAAAAAATATGTAATCACAAGTGAAATGTCAAAATATACGTATCATCTAGATTAAATGAAAAGTCAGGATATAAAATTATATGTATAATATGATGTCAATTATATGTATATAATCATATATATACATATATTAATTATATATGTATATGTTTATAGAAAAAGGTCTAGAAAGAAACATCAAAATGTACGCAATGATATTTTTCAATGATTATTTCATAGGGGATGATTATAAGTTTTCTTCCTGTATACTTGGTATATATTTTTACATATTCAGAATATTAATCCTGTATTGTATTTCTATGATCTATCACATTTATATAAAATTATATGTGTATATATATAAACGGAAATGGACAAGAACACTTAAAAGATAAAAATAGTTACAGAGACATTCAATTCTGACGAAATAATTTTTCAAAGTTTATTTTTTGCATCTTTGTTTTGGACAGAAATGTTTACTAATTTACATGTTACAAAAATAAAACAACTGGGTAATTAATAGGAATTCCTCTAACAAAGTACCATGAAGTGCCTCAACAATAATGTGGTCTCAGAGCCTCAAGTTTCCAAATAATTTAAATAGATTGTACAAACTCAATCTTAGACACAAGAAAAAAAATTATAACAAAATTTTCCACAAGAACTAAAGATTTTTATCATATTTTGGTATTATTGATTTAGTGTCTTAAGGTTCAAAAAAAAGGTCCTTCACAATGGAGTAGAAACAGAATTCATACATTTGCCTGTGTTTACATTTCACCCTTCTCTTTTGGGGGTTGGTTCTAAGATCCAAGCACAACCACAGGGCTCAAGGACTCAGTAAACACTATATGACCTCTCAGATCTCCATCGCCAGCAGGGCAGATTCCATACTCCTTGGTATTCCTACAAAGCTACAAGACCCTTCAGAATCAACCCTCCTTGCTCCTGCCACTCTGCCCTACTTGCGCTAGGGATGGGCATTCACTGAGAGGAAACACGCTCCATCCACTCTATGGGGGTAATTCCTACAGGGCCGCAGGACGCCCCTCAGGTACCACCTCTTCCGAGAAGTCTTCTCTGTTTCCTCCTTCTCTGCAGGCTGCTACACGCTCTTCCTCTGGACTGCCCGAACACCTTTGCTTTTCTCTCTAATTGCACTCACCATGCTTCGTCTTGAATGCCTCTGTACTTACTGTACACTCCCTTGTAGAATGTCAGTGAGGGCAGAAGTTTTTTCCTGTTTTGCTCATTGCGGTATGCCGAGTGTCTAGAAAAGTACTTAGAAGGTACCCAATAAATGTTTGAATGTTTATATGACTGACTGACAGAATAAATGAGTGAATGAATGATTGAATGAATTCCGCAAAAACTTGATTATCTAAAACACAAGATATCTGGCAAGGAGCAGAAGTGATGCCAAAAAGAAGGGGCAGAAAAGGATGGAGATACATAGAGACTTCAAAGATAAGTAGCTTGGTCAGGCGGAAAGAGCGTAGACTTCCGTCAGACACACTGCTACGTGACTTTGAGAAAGTGCCTCAATTTGCACCTGTAAAATGGGATAGTATACTCATTTGGTTGTTGTGAGAATTAACTGAATCATAATTATATAAATACATATCCAGTGCCTTGTGCATAGCAGGCATTCAGTAAATGCTTGACTTTTTTCCTATCCCCTTACATTGCAGTTTGGTCTAGTTATTTCTATACCTATGAAAAACTGATCACAAATTTCCTGAAAAAATGCATTGGACAAAATTATTTTTACTTTAATTTTTAAAAAGATAAACCATGGGGCCAGCCCAGCGGCGTAGTGTTTAAGTTCATGCGCTCCGCTTCTGGCGGCCCAGAATTTGAAGGTTTGGATCCCAGGCACAGACCTATGCACTGCTTGCCAAGCCATGCTGTGGCAGGCGTCCCACATAAAGTAGAGGAAGATAGACACTGATGTTAGCCCAGGGCCAATCTTCCTCAGCAAAAAAGAGGATTGGCAACAGATGTTAGCTCAGGGCTAAACTTCCTCACCAAAAAAATAGATAAACCATGCTAGAATAAGGGCAAAAGGAAGATATTCAAACTCTTACAAGGTCAGGCATCATGGCCATGAGGAGATGTGGGTATATCACCCACACTGAAGGAATGAGCACCAGAGGTCAGTCAGCGGTAAGTTTTATACAGAACAGAATCTTATACATTTTATTGGTGGAACATAGAGATATTCCCAGAGCACGGGCAAACTTCTCTCTTATGGGTTTCATTACCCTTTCTATTGATGAGACAAACACATACAATATTAAATTCTGTCCTAGAGCCATTTGGCTAAATGTGTGGCTGTCTAGGGCCAAAAATACTTTCATTGATTTTGGGATTAGAATCTATTAATATGCTTTTCAAACAGATATTCCTGTTCACCTTGAAGCGCTGGTACTCGTGCTAGGCTGGATGGTTGAGGACACCGGTCTCGCTACCCAACAAAAATAGGCTACTGGAGATCGCTAGAGCAAGTGTGATTGCTGCCCACCACCAGCCTGCTCCTGGCAAGCTGACACCCTCAGGGATCCTGAGCTGAGGTTTTTCAGAGCAGACTGCTGGATCCACGAGGCTCACTCAGGGCCTCCCTGGCAGAGCAACACACTTCCCCGCAGCAAAAGAGATTTTTGCAGAGAAACGAGGAAAATAAGTCATGGGACTAGAGGAGCTAGAATAAATATTCCTGCTGCCAGTATCACAGAGATGCAGTAAACTGATTTAACAATGAGCACAAGCTTTTATTGCTTCCACAAAAACTCATGGTTCCCGGATCTGGTGGCAACACAATAAATCGCCACTTGGATTGTCATTGTCTTTGAATTATTACCTTTCCTACCTTTGTACTGCATTATTAGCCATGTGGGATTTTGTCAGGTTTTTTTGTTGTGTTTTGTTTGTTTTGGACTCCATTTGCACTTGTGAATATGTGTGACAGACTATATGCAAACATGAATCCACTTCCCCAGAATGTATTTTTCCCCTTGGCATTTTATTTCATTGTAAATTATCAAAATTGTTATATTTTAGTGTACTGCACTTCTTTATTTGGTTAGTCAATTTATTTGGCTGATATCAACCAAAGCCAGAAAAGGGCAGTGGAAGCTGGAGGCAGGAAACGCAGCTAAGGGAGGTGGGAATTCCCCAGAGTAGCTTGGCTACAATTAGGTGTCTGGGGAGAAGCTGTTTGTTCAGCAGTGGAGGGGACAGAAGTGGAACAGGGAGCCAGAGAATGGAAAAAAGGAGGCTGGCTGACAGGTGAAAAGAGGAGGAGCAGCCAGGTATAAACACAAGGTAGGATGACAGCAATCGCTAGTTGGCACCTGAGGGGAGACTTCCCGGTAGAGGTAGGACGTGGTTTGGCCTTGGGGGAGGTGCAGATGCTAATCAGGACCTGAGGAAGTTGTTTTGAAAGGAGAAGGCTCCCCCAGCACTGCTACAGTGTAGGAAAAGTCACACAGACACAAGATTTAAGACAATGATAGATGACGGAGGGAGGGATGGAAGAATGGATGGATGGGCAGGTGGGCAGGCAGGTGGATGATCAGACGAAACAGACGATTATTTATAGGAATACAGCAGCAATTTCAAGAATACCAAAGAGGCCCTCTGACCAAAATTATGTTCTCTGTAGGCCTTCAGGAATGCCACCATTAGAAATTCTTCCCTTTGAGTTTTTCAGTGAGTGGTCCTTGGATCTCTGGATCAAAATGAGCTTATTTAGAGACTTGCTGGAGTGGGGCCCAGGAACCGACAGTTTAAGAAGCTCTCCAGGTGAGTTTTATACATACCAGTGTTTGAATGCCTGGACTAAGGCATTGGCCCTCATCCATAAAGTCCGCACTGAATTTATCAGATCCTTTCTAATAGACAACTGGCTGGAAGTCAGACAGGAAGAGAATAGGACAAGAATTATTTGGTGGTGCAGAGAGAGGCCTTTTTTCTCCCCAAGTGTCAGTGGAGGGTCCTAGGCACTAAGAGCCCCTAGAAGTGTCCTCAGGGCTGTTATGAAGGGAAAGAGAAGAGTCAAACCCCCATGAGTGCCACTCAGACCTCAGAAACTACCAGTCTGTGCGTTTTTCAAGGTTCAGATAAAATGCCAGCTCCTGCACAATTCGTGTCATTTTCATCCACCTAACCCCAGAGAGAAGTCACCTGTACTCCTGAACTCCCCTGTAGAATTTTGTCTACATATCTTCACTTATTCATTTATTTAACAAATATTTATTGAGCACTTACCATGTGCCAGACACTGTTCTAGGCATTGGGACAGAGCAGTGGACAAAAGAGACAAAAATGCCTGCCCTTATGGAGCTTAGAATCCAACAGGGGAAAAAATTAATAGGCAAAGTAAAATGTATATTAGACAGATAAATGCTAAGGGGGAAATAGTCATAGGAAGCGTGTACATAAGACTAACCTGCAATATTATAAAGCCAGGGATGCCTCTCTGAGAAAGTGACATTTGAATCAAGACCAGAAGGAAGCAAGGGATGAGCGGAGGGAATATGTAGGGAAAGTTCATTTAAGCAGAGCCAACAGTCAGATCAAAGGCCCTGAGGCAAGAGCCTGCCAGCCTGTTCAAGGAGTACCAAAGTGGCCTTTGGGGCTGGAGGAGAGTAAGTGAGGGAAAGAGACGTAGGAGATGAGCTCAGATGGCTATGGGAGGACCCTATCACCTAGGCCTCAGAAAGCTTTTGTAGATATTAGAAAGGTTTCATCATTTACAACATGGAAAACTATTGAAGGATTTTGAGCAGATGAATTTCATGGTCAGTCTTAACTTCAACAACCTCACAGCCTAGTTCGTTGAGAATAATTGATGGGGAGGCAAGTTTGGCAGAAGGGAGATTGGTTTTAGAAAGCCATTGCACTAATCCAAGGGAGAAACAGTGGTAGCTTGGACCAGTGTGGCAGCAGAGGAAGTGGCGAGAAGTGACCCATTCTGGATATATTTTGAAGGTGAGGAAACAAGTAGCGTATGAGAGAAAAAGAAGAGTGAAGGAGAATGCCAAGGTTTGGGGCCCGACCAACTGGAAAAAGTCTGCTGCCATTGACTGCAATGGGGAAGGCTGTTTGGGGAGTAGATTTTGGGGGAAAGGGCTTTGGGGGATCATCAGCTTATAACAATGAGATTGGATGAGATCATCAAGGTAGCGTGTATAGAAGTGCAAGGACTGAGGTCGGGGGCACTTCAACACTCAGAGGTGGGGTAATCAACTGTTCTGGTTTGCCCAGGGCTGAGGGTTCCCAGGACACAGGACTTTCAGGAAAGTTCAGAGGTCAGGGAGATGAATGAGAAATCCGTGAAAAGGAACAGCAGAGCCATGGGAGACACGTTGCCGTAGGAGCCAAGTAAGGAACGAGTTTCATGGAGAAGACAGCTCTCAACTCTGTCAAACGCTGCCGAGGGGGCAAGTAAGAGGAGGACTGAGAATTGACCACCAGATTTAGCAACAGAGATGTCACAGGGGACCTTGACCAGAGCAATTTTAGTAGAAGGAACAAGGGACAGAAAGCCTGATTTTACTGATTCAAGAGCTTCCTAGTCTGCTCGGGCTGCTATAACAAAAGAGCATAGTCTGTGTGGCTTAAACAACAGAAATTTATTTCTCACAATTCTGGAGGCTGAGAAATCCAAGATCAAGGTGCCAACAGATTCGGTTCCTGGTGAGGACCGTCTTCCTGGCTTGCAGACAGCTGCCTTCTCACTGTGTCCTCGTACTTTTCTCAGTGTGTGTGTATAGAGACAGAAAGAGAATGAGATCACTTTCTCTTCTTATAAGGCCACAAATCCTAACAGATTAGGACCCTACCCTTATGATCTCATTTAACCATAATTCCCTCCTAAAGACCCTGTCTCCAAATACAGTCACATTCGGGGTTAGGGCCTCAACATATGACTTGGGGTGGGAAGGGGAAGACACAATTCAGACCATAGCAAAGAGAGAAATTGGAAAGAGAAAAATAAGAACAACACTTTCAGGGAGTTTTCCTGTGCAGAAAAGGAAAAAGTAAGTGGTAGCTGGAATGGTATATAGGATCAAAAGAAGGTTGTTTATTTGTCTTAAGGTGGATGGAAGGAAAAAAAGGTATGTGTGTATGCCAATAGGAATGATCTAGTAAAGAGCGACGAGGGGTCCTCGAATAGGTGAGAGGGAGTGCCACCTGAGGACAACATGGGATGGATCTGAATGAGGAGCACAGGTGATTCATCTGCTGAAACAGGAAAGGAGGTAGAATTTATGGACAGAGGCACATAGGTCTCTAGATGTATTGGGTGGGCTCATCGAAATTCCCTTTTGGTTACTTATATTCTCTTGGTGAAACAGAAAGGAAAGGTCATGAGCTGAGAGTGAGGGTGAGAGAGGAGATGACAGCAGTGGAGGTCAGAGGAAAAGGTCAGAGAGGCAATTAGGACAGTACGAGAGCGATGGACTAAGGAAATGTAATATAATGGCCATGGAGCATTAAGGACCCACTTAGCATTGAGCTCCCGTTTAGAATGGAAGTCCAATGCTTACACCGTAGCAGAATTCAGCACGCTGCATCCCAGGAGGCATGGTGCACAAGGCTAAGGGTAAGAAGACTTGGAGTCTGGTCAGTCATAGGTTCACCATCCGCTTATATGAGTCACTTAACCCTCTGAATCTCCTTGTATTTTATCTGTAAAATTGGGATATTCATATCTGCACTGGCTTCCTCAGTAGAATCATGAGATGCAACACGAGGAATACCTTCTAAAATGTTAAGCGCTAAACACATCAGAGATTACTAAAAGACTAGAGTAGATAAGGGTAGAATAGCACAAAGAAAGGTGTGAGGTTCATGGAATCCTCAGGTCCCAGTAAGATCTTTCCAGAAGGATTGCCTAAGGGCACTTGGGATGACAGGTGGGAGGTGAGGAAAGGATAAGGAAGTCGAGGAAGATACTCTGCCAATGAACTACTGTCTAGTGTGGCCCAGGGCTAGTTGAAGCTGGTTAACTGAGGACACAGCACTCAGCAGATGCCCAGAGTGGGGGCTGCCGCTGGCCCAGACACACTCTTTGTGTGAGTTAGAAAGAGGCACTCTTTCCTCAAGACTTTTTACTTCCACTTGTCAGAAAACTGTCCTGATATACTTACCTTGTTAGAACAAGATATTTTCTTGATAATGAGATATTTATATGCTTGAAAAATTATTGTAACAAATATGAAAATCTACAGTATTATTGTGTGAATGGCACCCCCTAGGGTTGTGTAGTGCACAACACACAGCAGTCCTGTCTTAGCTGACCCTTGACATGAACCAACCTCCTTCACCATCCACCCCCTCATGATTATTTCTTTATGCCCATATTTAGAGTAATATCAGAACATAATGTCGTCTTTAAGTTTTTAAGATCAAAATTGAACATTAACGGTTTCTGTGAGGCAGTAGTCTTGGTAGCCATGGGTTAGGAGAGGTCTTTGAAGATCATTGATTTCCAGGAAGGATTTTGCATACACGTTTGGGCAGGTGGGAAGTCAGTGGTACATATATATACTATGTGCACTGTCCTACTAAAAACCAAGCAGCCAGTTAGAGAACGAACAAGTTAGACTCTCATTTCATTGGGGCCCATTTTTCTAGCCAAATCCTGTGGATTAGAAGCTGAATTTAAGAAGAGAAAGAATCACAAGAAGTTGTTTAGCAAAGTCGAATCCAGTTTTCCTTTCTCACACAGATTCTGTATCTATTTCTTGGATAATTGCCACCTTATGAAATAATCACTAATAATTGCTACCCCTTAGTGGATTCTCAGACTGGCACTCAGCTGAGCACTTTAAGTGTATTCTTGTATTTAATCCTTTCAGCCACCTTATGAGACTGATATTATTAGCTCATTTTACAGATGAGAAAACTGAGGCTTGAAGAGGTGAAGTAATTTCCCCCAAAGTAAATAGCCAGTAGGTTAAGGAGTCAGAGTCCTAACCAACTCTCTGAGCATCCATAGCCACCTGCTCTCAGTCACTGATGTGTCAGTCTCCCTTGGCACTCAATAAAATGACATTCAGAGTAGTGTAATGAACCTTTTGGACTGCTTACAAACCATGAAATACCATGTCTCTAAGTTTTAAGGGCTTAGTGGGCCACTTTTGGTAAACAGAACTGGCACTGCAGGATGAACATATCATTGAAGCCAAAAATCATAGGTGGAATTTATCTGTGCAACTGAAGTTTGTCACTCAATATCCTGACATTGTGTGTCCTCAGAGCAAGGCAAACCCAGCACCATAATTTGAAAAATAACTCAGCCAAAATTATCATTTCCATATATGAGGGCCAAGTAGTATTAGTAAAATATGCAAATTCCAATTTTAAAACTCCGGAAAATATTTCAGAGATTAAAACAACCTACATATTTTTGAAACAAGTCGAATAAATGCACAAAATGTCCTCTACAAAACTAACGTTCAATATTTTAATTTATTTAAAGCCCTGGCTCCCCTCACCTATCATTGCTGTGTTCTTTGTGACACTCCCCCTAGTGGCCTAGAAGAGTTAGCTTCCTTAACTAACGTCTTGGAAGATTTGGGATGACTGCAGCATTCCATTTTCTTTGTCTAATTTGACGGAAACTGGTCTTTTATCAAACTGTGAAGGTGAAATGAAGGGAAGGATGTGAAATATCAGTTTAAAAATAACTACTCACCACCCAAAGAGGCAAAGGACCTAGTGATTTTTACGACAATGAACATTAAGAAAAACCCTTGAAGCTCCTAAATCCTAGACACTTGACTTAAAATGTGAGGGCTAACCCCATTGACATCACAGATCCTTCCTGCAGTCACAATGCTCATGAGCCACCCAGGGAAGATGCGCCAGAAACATGAAGACTTTAGTCAGGATGCAATCAAGATTAGTTAGTATTTTGGCTTGGTGAGAGAGAAAAAAAAAATCTCTGTTTCCTTTCAAAAAAAATCACATCGACAAAAAATTAAGCCAGAAAATCCAACGTCATGAGTTCAGGTATTTATCTCATGGATTACTCAAGGTCTCTAAATTTCTCATACTTTAGTTTCTTACTTATATTTCTTATTATGTATAATACGGTAATAAATCTCAAAGACCCTTGGATGGCTTGGGCACAATAGGGTGAGAAATTATTCCCTATTGTTATAGAACGGTTTGATCTAAATGAGTACATCTCAACAAAGTTTCCTAAATGTCTAATGGAAACACCTGAAGTATTTGTGATGATCAGCTCTTCTAGCTGACTACAGGTGTGATGCGGGCCTGGGGGAGAACTGGGGTAGGCAAGGAGGGAAGAGAGGAAGTGTAAAACAATTGGAAGCCTCCCTTTAACCTTCGCCATATGTACAAAAACTGCCCTCAATTAAAAAATAAATTTACCACCACCGAAAAAATTCACTTGCCATAGTTCCTGATCTGATTCAGCATTCTGGTTGCCTAGATACGGATGTAAACGAAAGTGCCTCCCCGACTGCCGAGGAACAGCCAGATGAACCTGATGGCCCCCTTCCTGGCTCAGCCAGTGACCAAGAAAAGAAAGCAAGTACTTTTAGATATTCATATTAAAAATAGAATATTTTCTCAGCTTCTTTAAAGCTTAGCGTTGCTTAGAAAGTTCTAAGGAGTCCTGAAAGAGATGTTTTTCTTCTCACTCTACTCACATTTCCTGTTCTGCTTTGACAAAGTGACTGATGCCAGCACGACTGCAAAGAAAAAGGGTCTCAATTTGTGAATACGTTCATTGGACTGACTTTTAATATGTGGGGCTAAAAATTAACAAAAACTTGATAATTATTTGCTTTTTATGAAGATTCAAAAGGAACTATGATAAACTCAAGGTGTAGACTTGAACATGAAAAAAAGAATAGCTAAATAGAATGTTTCTTTTATCGGTACTTGTCATGTCTTCCCCATTAATGAAAAAGAACATTCAAAGAAGCAGTGTTTTTAGACTTCGCTTTGTAATTCTCATAACGCCTGACCAGCAGATGCAGCCTTTGGTGATGGAAAGAGCACTGGGAAGCTAGCATAATATCAAGCACCGATTTTTGGTATCCATTGGCTCTACTGTGCACCAGCTGTGTGACTTTCAGGGATTCCTTAACCTCTCAGTTTCCTCTTCTGTGAAATGGGCTAATTAGGCCTATCATACAGAGATGTGCGGTTTGAATGAGCCAGTAAGGTGAAGGGCTTAGCAGGAAGGAAGCGCTTAGTCAATAGCTTTAATATGATTATTACCATCATCTATACCATCTTGAGCAAGTCCGTTACTTCTCTGATCCTCAGATTCCTCACCTATAAAAATAATCACCTCAAATTCTTTCTGTAATAAAGAAGGATTTCAGTTACTTAAGGTAACTAACGTTATCCACAAGGTAATCATTCCCACCTTACAGGACTGTTGGAAGAATGAAATCACATCATATACGTGAAAGTAGTTTATAGGCCATTAAGCCGTAAAGGACCATAACATTTTAAAGTATTATTGTGGAACAGGTGAAAATTGATACATGTAAAAAGTCCCATAATAACCACCAAGCTGTCTGTGAGAATTTTTATATAATTATGTTCTAGCTTGTAGGAACAGAGAAGAAACAGAGCTGACTCCTATATTGAATATTACTATACTCAATTAGCAAAGACACAAAAATTTAAATACTGTCTTAAATACATAAAAAATTGCATAGAAAGAGGAAATAAATATGCCACAGTGTTAACGGCTTTTGCCCTAGAGAGTAGAATTTTAAATGAGCATTATTTCTCTGTATCTTTTACTTTTCTATATTTTTCCAAATTTTCCTCCATCATCAGGTTTAACATTTGTCACTTTAAAAGTATGTGAGTTGTAGGTGTGTTTTTGAGAAGATGCTATTTTGGGTCTTCCAAATAAGACACAAAAATTAATAAAATAAAAATAAAACAACAGAAACAATTGTTTCACTCGAGAAGGAGAAAAGAAGACAATAACCCAGTAATTTCGCATACTCCTTTATTCCACGAATATTTACAAAGGGCGAGTAGGTGCCAAACCTATAAGACCAGGGTCCAGCCAGCTGCTGAGGAAATACTACAAACGGACCCCCACAGGCAAGGCAGTGGTGAGCGGTGAGAAGAAAAGAGCTGGCATTAACAAGGTGCCGAGCCGGGGCCCAGCACGGTTCCAGCTGGAAACGGGAGTGAAAACACAAAGCAGGCCAGAAGGCCATCCACGTCCTCCAGGGAGTTAGGATGGTTTCGTAATGTGGACACCTGGGTGCCCAATGGATCAGTGTATCCATTCTCTAGGGCACGACCCGGCTTCGGAGTGTCAGGGCCACTGTAGACCCCACTCAGCAATGGGGCAAGAGGGTCTAAAGCATTATCACGGTGGCTCACTAGCTCCATCCTGAGCAGCCGTGAGCCTGTTCTGGTTGCCCACCACCAAGTGGGCCAGGTCAGGAGAGTCTGACTATTGCCAGGTATTCTAGACTTGCCTTCTTGATACCTTTTTTTTTTTTAAGTTTTCTTGGGAGAGAGAGGTTTCTAATTAAGTTTCTTAGCCCCTAAATTAAGAAGAGTAGTTCCTTAGGTATTTGCATGGGAGTCTTAATATATTCTGCTCACCATTGTAGTCTATAAGAACATAAACCAAGAAAAAACATCCTAGGAACATATTTTGCTTAAGTTTTAACCTGAGGTAGAATACCACTCATACTCTCTCCGTTGATCCAGTTCAGTGACAGCCTCTTAAATGAGGATAAATCTTGTCCTGTTTTTAAACTTAAAAGAACATTAGAGTTTAAAATAGTTTCAGCATATACAAAACAGTGAGTACATTTGGTATCCTCTTTCCTCTTAGAAATGCTGCAAAATTATGAACTTTCATGCAAATGGAACTTTCTAGTAGTACCATTTTATTGAATTAGTTAAGTGTTCCTATGGCCAGCTATGTTTAATACTAGTAAATTATGTACATAATTGTGCTCTATACTTTTATTTTTCATTGATTATAATAATCTGACATCCAGGTTTCTTAGAAAACAAAATTACCTGGATAGACTATTTTTCTAGTCTTTGGCTCTGTTTTTGAAAAATAGCTGATGTCTCTCAGAATTCAGCATGTCAGAAATAATTTACTCTGTGAAAACTTCTTTAGTAACTCAGCCAATAATCACTGGTTAGTTCTTTAAAAAATTATCTAAGTGGAGGGGCTGGCCCAGTGGTGCAAGCGGTTAAGTGCGCGCGCTCTGCTGCGGTGGCCCGGGGTTCACCGGCCGGGATCCCAGGTGCGCACAGACGCACCGCATGTCAGGCCATGCTGTGGCGGCGTCCCATGTAAAGTGGAGGAAGATGGGCTTGGATGTTAGCCCAGGGCCAATCTTCCTCAGCAAAAAGAGGAGGATTGGCAGATGTTAGCTCAGGGCCGATCTTCCTCACACACACAAAAAAATTATCTAAGTGTGGCTGGCCCAATGACGCAGAGGTTAAGTTCACATGCTCCGCTTCAGCGGCCCAGGGTTCGCAGGTTCAGATCCTGGGCATGGACATACGCACCGCTAACAAGCCATGCTGTGGCAGGCATCCCACACACAAAAAAGGGGATGATGGGCACAGATGTTAGCCCAGGGCCAATCTGCCTCAGCAAAAAGAGGAGGATTGGCAACAGATGATAGCTCAGGGCTAATCTTCCTCACCAAAAAAAAAAAAAGAAGAAGAAGAATCTGTGGCTTTGGCTTTTCCAAAAAGTTTCTCCTTACAGTATACCAAATCTATGAACTGAAGCTTTCTAGTGTCTTCCCAGAACTTGATTTTTGTTTTAGTCTCTGGCAATACAAATGGAGCATGTGCATGATTAACTGGGCTGAGGGTCTATGATCTATAGTATATATTTTGTTTAAAATTAAAACATTTATATAGAATAAGATGGATAAGATTTCCCTATAAAGTAGCTGATGATACATTTTAAACCTGTGACCTTTGTTTTAGGTAAGATTATCTCCAGCCAAAATGTCAACCAAGAATTCAACAGATCTAGTTGACTATGTCAACAAGTAAGTCTGTAAATTACAACCAATTTTAACTATTTGCTGTATTTAATGATTGTTAGAGTTTAAAGTGCCTGAATGAGATCTTTGAGTTCATCTAAACTAATTCTCTGCTTTCAGATGGACTATATTAAACTATCTCAGCAAGATGAACCTCTCTCTCCTATTTCTTTCTGATTGACAGAGCAAGACAATTTTATTGCCTCCTCTGTTAATAACCTCCATAGGTTCCTGTAGATTTATTAATAAAATAATACAACATAGTCAATGAATGACATATGACAAGATCATATGTAGTTAACTATGATTTTCAAAATAAACCAAATAAAGATGTTAACACTTCATGATAACTCAGGAAATTTTTAAATAAATTAATCATCAGAAAATTTTGTTTCTGCTGTTAACAGTGCCACCCCTGGAGCTCATCCAGGGAAGGTCTACGGAAGAGGGACAACTCTTGGGAATTGGAAAATAACATACAATTGATACATGTGCATTGTCCAAAAGATCCTAGAATTCCAGTTTGTAAAGGTGGGATCACAGAGGCAATGCATATTAATTTGAGTTTCTATTCCATATGTCAAATGTGCCCCTACTATTTTCAGGACACTTGAAATTTAGTCTCAGTCCTTCCATGTGTGACCTCAGTCAGCCCCATATGTCTCTGGGTTTTGGTTAACTTTCATTTGCCAAATGAAGAG